GCAAAAAAGAAGGGAAAGAATATACAGGTAGGACATATAAGAATTTTGAATATCAATCAACCAACAAACAAAGGAAAAATTGAAATTAGTTATACCTCCAGATTGTGAATGCCTTTTGCAATATGCCAGAGAGAGGTAGCATCTCCATCCACCAAATATTCCTGTCAGGCATATTCTAATAAAATTTTACACCCATGGACACAAGACTAAAGAAATGCAAAATAACTGCAACAAAATGGAAACAGAACAATTATCTTCTCCCAATTAATAAGTCAGTTCCAACATAAAGAATACAACCACATACTTTCTGAGCTAGATCAAGCTCGAATGATATTAAGTCCTCGTCCAGTGGAATCATGTACAATGGAAATTCCCCAATGTTCAACATTTCATGAACTTTTTCCTCCTGAAGTACCTGTCAACAACCGATAGATACATGTGAGCCAGAGTTACCCGCATCAAAAGGATTTCTCCAACTACATGATTTTAACAGACACCACACTGCTCACCTTCTCACATGCAACCAGCCGGCGAGGAACAAAGTAGAGGAAGTACTCCCTATGAAGCCCTTTTGATGTATCATTATGAATGTGAGAGCAAATGGATTTCATCAAGTCAAGCTGAGCTCGAACAAGGTACACCACTTTGGTGCGCTCAGTTTGAATTGGCTCCGCTGTTAGATGCCTCAATTCAGCACCATGTTTCTGGCAATAAGATAAATTGTGACTTTTAAAAAAGTTCCTTACCAGTTCTGTAGAGTATCAAATATCAAAACAAAATTACTATCAATGTACTTTCGGTGCTGTCAGTCTTGTCATTGACACTTTGGTATGACAGAATAAAAGTGCAAATGCAGATAAACACATGAGAAGAAATTTCCAGAATGACAAAAATATATAATTAGTTACAAATTACCAGGAAAGATAATTAGAGAGAGAGAGAGAGAGTATTATACCTTTTCCTTCTTTTACCAATAGTCTAGTTAAGAGATTTACAAAACAGTTATAATAGAAAATGCTACTCACCCCAAGCCAGAAAACTGTGATTTAACATCTTGAGAAACAAAAATAATAACCCATGAGTGTTCACAAGAACATAGAATACCTTCAGTTCCGAGCTTTGGACCAGAAGTGACAGAGACCCACTAAGCTTCGGATCAATCACCAAACATTTGTCTCCTCGAACCTTTCGTATAGATTGCAAACAAATAAACAAATGGGAACATCTTCACAAAAATTAAACGCAGAAGAAAAAACCCATCATCCAATGATCCCATTCAATTAAAATATCTCACATGTTTAAAGATACTTTCCAGCTCCGTCTGAGCTCGAGCTCTGGAGTTCAAGAACCACCACAAATTAGACAATGGATTTTAGTATCCAGTGAAATTGAAATTATAGATGTTTCACATGAAGTTCATGCGGAAAAAAAGAAATAGGATCAAGAATTGTACCGAATAGAAGTGAGATTGATTGGGGCATTCTCCAAGTTTGGAATCTGAGACATTTCTTTCTAGCTTCCCCTTTCTCTCTTCCGGTTCTCTTCTTTGCGCGAGTCTTTGGAGAGTTCCACAGGCAAAATCGCTTTTCTTCTTTTTTTTTTCTTTTTTTTTTTAAATCGCTTCCTTCTTAACAAACGGCCGCTGAGATATCTTTGTTTTAGTTTAATAATACAGATAAACTGTAATTCAATTAGAATAAAAATAATTTGAAATTTTAAAATTAACTTTCTTTTATCTTTTATTTTTATGATATATAATAATATAATATATAGTATTTCACCAGTTATAAAATAGTTGTTATTTTAAAGTTCCCACAAAATTTAATATATTCAAGCATTATCAATAAATAGTACTCAGAAAATTATATTTCTTTACCTATACATAATTACAATTTATTATTTTGATTCCTAAAGTTGAAGGTAGCCCATTTTGTAAACAAGTCAGGCCCCTATATTTGGGACGAGTTTTAGGGTCTGTTGTCTGTCTTTGTGCTCCTCCGTATAGACGCAACTCTACTCCCGAGAGCGACGACAGATGATGATTGGATCATGTGGGGCGTCTCCCCCAATGGTAGATTCTCTACAAGGACAACCTACATGTCTTTACTACAAACAGAAAAGGATCTTGATAAGCACCTTTTCAAGCTTATATGGAGAGCAATGACCCCACAACGGGTTCGAAACTTTATGTGGCTCGCAGCTAAAGGGCGGTTGCTCACAAATTTAGAGCGATATTGGCAACAATTATGCAATTCAACAAAGTGCAATTTATCTGGGGAAAGTGAATCCGCTCTACATCTGAGCTCGACTACTCCCAATTCTTCGAGCTATCGTTGAAAGCATGGTTCCACAGGAATTTGCTTAGACTATGTCTGGGATCCTTCACGAACTGGAGCAGCCTCTTTTCAATCGTAGTTTGGCGATCATGGAACTAGAGGAACGAACGTGTCTAACCAGAAAACTTGAAATTGCAAGGCACATCGATTGGAGGTATTGAATCGTGTGGACACTTATATTCGTTCTCTTGCGGCCTTAATAAAGTAGGAGATGAATCGAAGCATTTTGATATTAGATTAATTCATTAGTCTCCGCTGGATCCAGGGTGGATCAAAATAAATACTAACGTGCTTTTGATAATTCCACCAGAATGATGAGGAATCCTTCATGATGAGCTGGGAAGACGGATAGTGGGTTTCATCATGCACATTGAGTTTTGTACAACTACGGGTGCATATTATGGGGCCTTTTTCAGGAGCTTCAACTAGCGTGGGAGAAAGGTTATCATTAACCAATGTGTGGTGAACATGATCCTTGGCACCGAGAATAATTTTGAAGCCCATGAAGCGTTATTCAAGGTCATTCGTTGCTTGATTCAAACGGAATGGAGCATCACGATACGACATGTGCATATAGAAGCCAGCAATAATTAATAGCAAAGTCCTTTTCTCTCTCTTCTCTCGCACCTCCTCTCAGTCGGGTTTGCCACTCGGCCTCGGGCTGGGCATTACCGGACATCGTAGCTCCTCCCTCCAAGCATCGCGCCACCTTCCCAGTGTAGAATTTCGACGCACTCGTCGGTCGTCTCCGACATGGTGAGGATTTCATTGGTGCCGAGTTGCGACTAGATGCTGGCCTTCGACTCCTGTCGGGATTGAAGTATGGTTCCCCTTCCCCTTTTTCTTCACTTGATTTTTTGTAGGTCGGTGATGGTTGACCGGTGCGATTGGTGGAACGGCAACCGTCTGGTGGGTAGACGGAGGTGCCTACCATCTGGTGTGCTTGCGAGCTTTGTTGGCTGTTTAAGGTGAGGGGTGTCATCCTCCGGTCACCGATATGGGGGTAGTCTGTCCGAGAGAAGATTTTTGTCGTTTGGTGCGATTCCAGCTAGCCGTGGCTATACTGGAATTTCTCAAAAAAAATATCACAACTCGTTCCATGGACTACTACCTTTAAATGAAAATATCACAACATTGTTCTTATTTCGTTTATTTTGTGGGTTTATGTTGTGGATGTGTTAAAGTAGTTCTCTATGCTATTGTTGTTGTTGGGATCCTCGCTAGATTCAATTAGATGATTATTTGACTTATTCTAATAATTATCTAATTGTAATTATGTATTTATACTTTATAAATTCAATTGTTTTGAAAAAAAGAAAAAATTATAGTTCCTCGTACCGAAATGGTCTTCACGAGGTTAGCCATGTTGGCTTTGGAGGGAAACAAGTGATTTGTTGTTCCCGTGGACTTGTAATCAGTTGATTACCCGTTTGTATATTTTGAGGTTTAATTATATTTGTTTTCTGGAAAAANTGGTATAAATGGATTTTACATATATAATAATAATGGGAAAAAAGGTGAGCAATGTTGCAAGTCACCTCTCCATATGTCCGTTTGCTGAAGCAATATAAAAATCGACTGTCATTCCCATAACTGAATCAATCAAATCCCATATTCCTATTTCTTTTCACCCATACTCTCCACCGTCTTTTGATCCCATTACCAAATTGAAATAAACATCATTATCCTGATCGTCCTCATTGCTACGCCATGGCAGCCTCCATACGCCTCCGCCGTCTCGGCGCGGTCGCCGCCTTGGCCGGAGGCGCCTACTTCACCGTTCTCAGCACCCCGCCGGTCTCCTCCAGTGACCGTGGAACCCTCGGCCCCACCCTCGCCGGTGTGAAGCAGAAAATTGCGGACCCTTTCGCCGTTATACCATCTCGCGCCGTCCAGGAGTCGGCTTTGATCGGCTCCAGTGCGGCAAATCCACTGGACGTCCTCGTCATCGGCGGCGGGGCCACCGGCTGTGGAGTCGCGCTGGATGCGTCCACGCGTGGGCTTCGGGTCGGGCTTGTGGAGCGAGATGATTTCTCGTCCGGCACTTCCTCGAGGTCCACTAAGCTCATCCATGGAGGTCTGCATTTCTAATTGTGTGAATAGATCATTTTTTCCTTTCGCGTTTGGATTGTACTTCAAGTTTTTAGGATTTTGCTTTGCTGTCAACCGGTGACATGGGGCCGATTGGTTCCCCTTTCGTGCTGTCATGGAGTATCTGTGACTGGGTCTAAAGTTACTAAAGAACTGCCCTGTTTCTTCACGTGAACAAAAAACCCTACATTTAGCATATATTGGTCAAGAGATGGCAAGGAGAGCATTAATTCAAATAATTCGATGTTGAAAGAGTTGGTTCACAGTTATGGGATACGAAATACGATACGACTGAATGTCATTTTCTCTAAGGCGGAGAGCGTGATATTGGTTTGCCAATAGATGATTAATTATAGTGGATCAGATGATATGTTTCAAATTTTATTTTCCTTTTCCTGAGTCTTGTTAACTTTCTAAATTCGAAGATGTAACTGTAGAAGGCACACCTTGTTTTTTGTGTCATTAGAATTTAGAAATCGATACCTGCATTTCACATAGATGTTTCACTTTATCAATTAAGCAACATGTTTTTGAACTTCAATTAGATATGGAGGCTAGGTTTATGGACTCGTCCTGACTAAATGAACTTTTTTGTCATGAAAGCTCTCTAGCGTAACACCTTTTCCACTTAACTATTTTTTTCTTTAAATTCCTTCTCACATGCCTGTCTGCTCCATTTGATTTATGCTCATCAACGTGACCAAGGACTCATTTACTGGTTTCTGCAGAACCTGCCTTCCTCTGATAGACATACTTCCATTTAAAAATAATGCCATTATATGTCCTTTTCTTGAATGTCTTTGCAGTTGGTTAAATGTTTTGCTTTGTTCCAGTTTATTGATAAACTTTATACTTAAATTTTATGCTATATCATTGACACTGCCACCTATTGGTATTACAATATTTTTCACTATATTTCTCTCAGGAGTTCGCTATTTGGAGAAAGCTTTTTTTAACTTGGATTATGGACAGTTAAAGCTAGTCTTCCATGCCCTGGAGGAGAGAAAACAAGTTATCGACAATGCTCCCCATCTCTGCCATTCTCTGCCATGTATGACACCATGTTTTAGCTGGTTTGAGGTGGTATACTACTGGGCTGGTTTGAAGATGTATGATCTCATAGCTGGCCGGCGCTTGCTTCACTTGTCTAGATACTATTCCGCACAGGAGTCAGTTGAGCTTTTCCCCACTTTAACTAGAAAGGGCAATGATCGGAGCCTGAAAGGAACTGTTGTCTATTATGATGGACAAATGAATGATTCACGTCTGAATGTTTCATTAGCATGTACCGCTGCTTTAGCAGGGGCTGCTGTACTTAACCATGCTGAAGTTATATCCTTTCTAAGAGATGAGGATACTGGACGGATTGTTGGTGCTCGGATAAGAAATCATTTATCAGGTAGGACATCACTCTCGTCAATTAATAGCCCTTCTGTTGTGATACTTTCTTTTAAACTTTACGACTCTTTTTTTTTATGTGTGTGTGTTGTGTTTGTGGTTTATTAAGTTGCTGAATGTAGTTCGTTTTGATCTTATGGTCACACTTGATGACTGGCCTTCTTCTCTTTTCTTAAGTCTCTGATTCTGTGCATTTCGTTCTTTATTAAGTCACACCTTTTTCCTGATAATTTAGTGGTGTGCATTGCATGTGATGAATAGAATATGGTAACACTGTGTTTCTTCTTACATCTCTTGATATTGGGCTCTGCTTTCTGGTGTAATATGTTGTCATGACTCTCAGAGTAGAAAAGTTATCCACTATTTTTACCTCTAGTTTGCACGAGCATTACTAATATTATAAAGGGATTTTTGAATTTGCAGTCATCTTCTTTACATCTTGTTGGGTTTTTTTTACTCTACCCTTGCTCCTCTGTCTCTCTTTTCTGGATGCATACTCGGAGGCCGGAGGGTCAATTTTAATGTTATTTTCACGTTTGAAGCTTTACCATAATGTCAAGGACAACACTGTATTGGAAAATTGGGTTGACCTAATCCAAGCCGGCCATCTTTGCAAATTTCTAAGATGCGTCCAATGTTTTTATTATAATTGAAATAATCACCTTTTAGCCCATTTTGCTAGTTCTTTTATATACCTTTACACAATGTAATTGCTGGGTCTGTGCGCAACAATGCAACTATATTACCCTTCTGAAATTTTAACTTATTCAATGTGTGCAGGGAAGGAGTTTGACACGTATGCAAAGGTTGTTGTAAATGCTGCTGGACCATTTTGTGATTCTGTGAGGAAGATGGCGGATAAAGAAGCAAAGCCAATGATCTGTCCCAGCAGTGGTGTCCACATTGTGCTTCCCGATTACTATTCCCCAGATGGAATGGGATTGATTGTTCCCAAAACTAAGGATGGCCGTGTTGTCTTCATGCTTCCATGGTTAGGGAGAACGGTCGCTGGGACCACCGACTCAAACACCAGTATTACAATGCTACCCGAACCACACGAGGATGAAATTGAATTCATATTAGATGCCATCTCAGATTATCTTAATATTAAGGTTTGTGGCTTTAGTGGGTTTGAATTTTATATTTCTAAGTCCAGTTAACTTATTTTTACTTTCTATTTTCTTTTTGTATCTCTCTTGTTTTTTCTTGTGTCATCACACAGTTCAGCCTTCCTCCGTTAATAAATGGATTTTTGTTGGATATGGTTGCCAATACTTAGGGCTCTTCTACTTTATCTATGATGGAGTCTCTCATTTTTTCCATAACCCAATTGATCATTGCAGTTTCTCGTTCATTCACAGGGAGAGAGAGTCAGAGAGATCAAATCCCCTTAATTTCAATTTATGAAAATACCTAATTATCTGTTGCTAGAAACTTTATATCATATTAATCCACCACAGTTTTGCACTGCCTTGCATTGACCTTTCTTTACTAGATGCATTTACATTCCTGCAAATGTTATGCTCTTGTGTGATTGTTAGTGTTCGAATAAAAGTAAAAATGTATTTTAGTAGTGGGATTGTGGTGTAAATGATAATGTGTATGAATTGCTATTGGTAGTTGCTCACTTTTTTGATGGGGAGCCATGTTATTATAAGCATTTCATCAGGAGGTCTATCAATTGTTTTGATTTAATGTTTTCAACTGGTGGTTTGCTAGTTTATATGATTTGATGACTAATGTTTAATTAAAGGGCTTCTTCCTTCAATTGTATGTCATACCTAAAATGTTATCTGAAAATGAGCTTTTCCCGGTTATTATTATTAACTTCAATTCATTGATAGCTGTAGGATCCAGTTAAAGGGCTAAATTGTCGTATCAGGTCAAAATGTCGGTTCATAATCAGAAGAGCTTTTAAATTGTGGTTTTTGTAGTCAGTTGCATAGTATTGGCCTAATTTTTTTTTTAATCAAAATAAGGGCTTAAAGGTTTGTTTGGTCTATAATAAGAGTCTTGCTTGTTAAACAATGAGCATCTAAGGTACTATTTGGTTGATGTGTGCCATAGTAAAATATATCGCATAGTATCTCTCTTTTTTGTCAAATATTGCTTGATGGTGTTCACTAAAGTTTTCCTCTATAGATATAATTCAGGGGCATGTATGATGAGACTCTTCTTCTTCGTTCTTTTCATCAGCATTCTTTTCTCTAATTGTTCATTTTCTTAATGAACATCAATTTATATTAGGTCCGGCGCATGGATGTTCTGTCGGCTTGGAGTGGCATTCGACCATTGGCTATGGATCCAAATGCAAAAAGCACTGAGAGTATCTCTCGAGATCATGTTTTAACTGAAGATTTTCCCGGTTTAGTTACAATTACTGGTGGAAAGTGGACTACATACAGAAGGTAAACTTTAATGTGGCGATATCTTTCCTCTTCTTGTTGAAAGGTTATTGCTTTTAATTGTTTTGGCTCATTAACATTGAGTCTGATGGACTTTTTNTCTTGAGTTTAACCTCTAATAGTTTTAGATTTTCTGGTTAGCATCTTTTTGGCTGAACTCGAACCATTTTTTCCAGTATGGCAGAAGATGCAGTTGACGCAGTTATAAAGTCCGGGAAGTTGAGCCCTGCAAACAAATGCATGACATACAACCTACAGCTCGTGGGTGCCGATGGATGGGACCCATCGTCTTTTACTGTACTAGCACAGCAGTATGTGCGCATGAAGAAGTCGTATGGAGGAAAGGTTGTTCCAGGTGTTATGGACACTGCTGCAGCAAAGCATTTATCACATGCTTATGGCACTTTTGCCGAAAGAGTGGCTGCCATTGCACAGGTTTCGCTCAATCAGTCATCACCCGCATTCGTTTTTTGTCGCCTTTCTTTCTTTAGAGATTCACTCTGTTAAAAAAATAAAATAAAATGTCATTCTTCTTCTTCTTCTTCAAATATGGTTATATTGTGGTTCAGAATGAAAATATGGGGAAGAGACTAGCTCATGGATATCCAATTCTTGAAGCAGAGGTTGCGTACTGTGCTCGGAATGAATACTGTGAGTCAGTGGTGGACTTCATTGCCAGAAGATCCCGACTTGCTTTCCTTGACACAGATGCCGCCAGGCGGGCAGTGCCTCGTATCCTTGAGATATTGGCTGCCGAGCACAAGTGGGACAAGTCGAGGAAAAAGCTCGAACTCCAAAAGGCTCAACAATTCCTCGAGACCTTCAAGTCATCCAGAAATGCTCAGTTCCATGATGGCAAACACATCTAATATGTAAGCCTTGGTCCATTTATGTGTTGGTATGGACAAAAAAAAATCCATAGTTTACAAGTTCTATTTATTTATTTATTTATTTATTTTTGTTCTTTTTAAAGTAGTAACTATGACATTGATCTGTGAAGTTGGATGTGTGTCAAAGGTTTAAGCACAGGTGTAGTTTTTGTAATTACTCTTTGAAATTACAATTTAATGAAATAAGAAATATATAGTGTTGCTCATCATATGCTCTTGTTTTGTTGCAGGTCAATCAGTTTGTAGACAGAAAAGTGCTTATATTTTGGAGCAACATTCGTACTCTTTTTGCCCCACTTTTTTGCTGAATAATATTTTGTTGGTTTTCCCCTTAGAAAGAGGGGGTTTTTACATATTTGCTCAGACAACAATAATCATCTGGTATATTATTGCAGATTTGTTGTTGCAACATAATACTACTAGTATAAATTTATATCCCCAATTGAATTTCATGTTGGCATAGTCCCAATTCAACAATGTCTCTTGAGGACAAAATATTATGCACTACTTGGTGAATTTTTTAATAGCTCATTTGAAGTTTGAGAAAATCCAGCATCTAGGAAGCAATAATGGCATTTACATGTAGGAAATCAACAGAATAAGCAACGGTTACAGGTTGTGTTGGGCCCGCAAACCATGTTGGTCACATTTTTATAACTACTAATTATTAATAGGTAGGTTGTCACTATAACAAGAAAAATTCGTGATGTTCATGATAACTAATACGTAACCCGTGCGATGTACGAGCTGTATTTATTTTGGTAAAATTTATAAATAGAAGATTATTAATCAATTAGTTATAATACGTAGAGCATTTGTCAACTAGTTATAAAATGTTCGTCATAAAAAAGTTATACTTTACTTAAAACCTCTTTGTTTTTCTATGCAAAATCATTTGTACTTGGCAATTGTAGATCGATATTTATCAAGATTGCTCTCCACTTGGTAATTGCGAATTGCATAGACACCTTCTTCCTCTAATTCGTGGTTGATTGTTGGAACGTTTTTAACACCACGAAATATAATTATAGTGAAAATATATAATATTGTTATAAATACTAAAAATATGATTTATCATGTAAAGTTTAATTTTATACAGAATATAAGAAAAATTGTCACCTTCAACTGTGGATTTTGAGTACATATTTCTTTTTCCTTTCAGCCATTCTCATTTTTTTATACAAAATCCATTCCAATTTTTAGAATTTTTTCTATATATGTTTTAACAGAGATTTGGAATTTCAATTGTAACTCTTGTACAACAATATTTAAAAAAAAACATTATGTTAAAAAACAACGATATTTTATCATTTTTAGTTCAAAACTAACTAAATGAATTGAAGAACATGTAAATCACATTTTTTTAAAGAAAAAAAATAGTTCATAAATAAATTCATTTGTGTATATCTAAATTTCATTTTGCATGGATATTGTGTATATCTCTTTTGAATAAGGAAATTATTTTTTTGCTTGATTTATAATATAAAACTTTTTCATGTGATAACTAAGGATGAAGAAATCATATCTTTTGTATATGTAAAGGATAAGTTTGAATGTTAATCTTGTATCCTAAAAATTTGCTATTTATTCAAAAAAAGGTTGTTACGTTTTGCATGAAAATAAAATTGAGAATATAACACGTCCAATTCCATTGCAGTTTTAAATTTTGTTTATATATATATATATATATATATATATATGTATTGTCAAGTATTAGGATGATATTTCATTTTTTAATCGGTGATTTCAAGAAAACTGCTAGAAAGAAAAAAAAAATACACTCAACAAAATCGTTGCCATTAACGAACAGATTATGATATCATTAAAATTGTTTGATTTAAATAAATTCAAAATATACACAACACAGAATTCAAGAATATTTTTTCACAACAAAAATCGAGAATATTACATGACAAACGACAAGCGAGATTATGGTAATGCATTTAATGCTTCTGCTTATTTTTATTTGTAAACACTTAAAAAGAATATAAAATTTACCTTTTTTATTATGTAATTAATGATTTTGTCGGGAAAACTCTTTCTAAAAATAATTTAACTTTATTCTTATTTTATATAGATAGATTAGGATATTATGTAAACAAATCCCATTGATAATTTATGACTAATGATGTCTTAATTAATGTTTCAATAACAATCTCGGGATGATTATAGCAATGTTGTAATACTCCACTACGTACATATAAAATAATTGTTAGTTATTGTTTAATATGTTGTGAATAATATTGTCGACTAATACATTTAGTTATTGTTTAATAAAAAATCTAGTATATTTTTATTAATTGTTAGAATTAAATAAATCATAGTTATCCATATTAGTCAATATATATAGAGAGTGGTTGAATTTAAGTGAGAATGGAATGCAATGAAATAAATCTTAGCCATAAAATATGATCATTCAATGGTAAAAAACAAAAAAAAAAAAAATATTTACAATTATTAACGATATAATAGACATTTTATCCTTCACATATGTCATGTGGGCCACATCTCATTAACAAAAGTTTTCATAAAATTTACAATATTTTAACTGAACCATTTTTTAACTCAACTCCATTATCATCAATATTATCAATATAATTAAATAATATCAATCAATCATTCAAACACACAACATCAACCTTAATTCACTATTCATCCACTCACATTATTTTAACTAACCATCACATCAAATCATCTTTTTCCTACTTTTACATAAATCAATTTTAATTATTTTATTTTAAATATTATTTTAATATACACACTAACAACTAACCATACCACCTTTTTCAAAATTAACTAAACTAAACCAAAAAATCCAAACAAAACAAAAAATTTCTATAAACAAACATGTACTCAACCACTTTTTTTAACTCAACTTTAACTCAACTCAACTATCATTAATATTATTAATATAATTAAATAATATCAACCAATCATTCTTACACATCACATCAACCTTAATTCACTATTCATCCACTCACATAATTTTAACTAACCATCACTTCAAATCATCTCTCTCATACTTTTACATCAAATCAACTTTAATTATTTTATTTAAAATATTATTTTAATATAACCACTAATAACTAACCATACCACTTTTTTCAAAATTAACCAAACCAAACCAAAAAATCCAAACAAATCCAAAAGTTTTTATATCCAAGCATTTAAAGACCCAACAACTAATTAACGAAATCTTGAATTTCGATACACAATATATTGGGCAATCTTAAAAATCAACCAGAATAACATATGTAACATTATTTTTCTTTTTTAGTAAAACTACTATTAATATTTTCTTTTATATATTTTCATATTCAAATATGGTACTATTAAAACAACTTAAACAAAATTATGAAATTTATTATGATATAAACATGTATGTTTGTTAAACGGGTCAACCTGCCTAATACTGCATTTTATTGTTTTTATTTGCTTTGGCCAAGAATATCAATTAGAGTTAGAAATCCAAAATTAGAGTTTAGGAAA